ACTCGTTGGAAAAGCAATAGGCCCTTACCCCGGTTGGGGCTCGGGCCTAATTAAAGCCGCAAGCGGCATCTAACGGCCCTCGCCGCACCGCGCAAAGGAGGTGGCGCTGACGCGCCATTTTCCTACCCCCCTGATGGGAGCGACACTGTGCATTTTGAATGCCTATGATTAGTGATTGTGTGTGTCTATTGAAAAGGTAAACTTGATTCTCCCCATGTAATACTTGACTCCGTCTGTAGGGGGCGCTATATCTGCAATTTCGTCTTTAACACTTTCAGTTTACCCAAACCCGAGAGTTGAACAATCAATTCAAATTTTGTGCAAATCGGACTTTGTATGTGCAAATGGTGGCATTTAATGTTGTACAACAGCGCCCCCTACAATTTTTTTTTTTTTAGTGTTATACCAAAGAACACCAAAATTATACACTTTATGCCTGAAAAAAACTTGTGGCAGAGTTTGTTCAGTGGGTCAAATATGAGATCCAACAACAGAAAACCTATATACCTGTATCCCCATGTAAACCTTGACTCAGGCTGTAGGGGGCGCTAATGGGACAATGTCATTGTTCACACTGTCATGTGACCTAGGCCCAGGAGTTGAACAACCGAGTCAAGTTTAGTGCAAATCAGAGTTTGTAAATGTGCTCCTGTTTAAACATACAATCTGTGAGTGTGTCCATAGAGTCTAACATGGAGATAACATGGGAACTTCACACCTCTCTATGAAAATGACCACACTTTGGGAGTCTGTCACGCGCAGACCGTTTGACTAATTAAAACTCTATATGCAACTATTGATGGTCCATGTGTGGACACCATGTGGAGCGATTTTCAGACAAATTAGGGAAACGGCCGTGGCTGGTTTGATGTTTGAGCGAGGTGTACTTTTCAGAGATTTAACGATTTTCTCATAGACACAGACAGGGGAGTGTTGGTCGTCGCCACGGCAACAGGGTAAAAAATAATCATATGTTGTCATTGACTTTTTGAATCCAGATGACAAAACAGAATTATGTGCAAAATTTCAAACATTTTGACAAAACTAAATTTTAAAAAGCCCATGTAAAACTTTAACATAGTCTGTAGGGGGCGCTAATGAGCCAATTTCAATATTTCCACTTTCAGATGACCTAGACCCTGGAGCTGAACAATGGATTAAAATTTGGTGCAAATCTGACTTTTTTTGTGCAAATGGGAGCAAATTTACTTTTGTCAAAAATTGGAAAAAACATGTCACATTTTGCCGCTCCGCTGCTCGGACAACGTTTTAACTGATCCAAATTCTATATTCAATAATAGATGGGACATGGGTTTAGACCATGTGGAGCGATTTTGAGACAAATCGGTGAAACGGCCGAGGAGGAGATAATTTCCAGCCGACATGTGTGAAAAAGATCAATTTTCATTTTTCCATTTTCCAATTAAATTAATGAGCTTCCTGTTTGTCAGGGGGCGGAGCCATAATAACTTTTTTTTCATGTCTTGACCTGAGGAACATGTGTACCGAATTTCGTGGCTCTACGACAAACTTGACCTTCGACCCCCTCCCATAGGCGCAATGTAAACTGACTTTTGTAGGGGGCGCTATTCTGACATTTTTTTAGTCCCTTAAAAATAAACACCAAAAAAATTAATTTTTCACCGGTTCTGAATTTTGGGCAAAATTTCACAACTTTTCATCAATGTTCAGGGGGTCAAATTAAGGTTCAAAGCGCAGAAGAAAAAAGAAATAAAAATAAATAATAAACCAAGGAATTTTTTTTTTTAAATCTTCGAGCAAAAACAATATAGGTTTCCATAGTAACCTATAATACAAATGATACGTCGTTTTAAAGCGAACGACCAGACGAACGCAACTATTGGGTTCTCGGTGATTGACGAGCGCTGACGCGCTCGTCAATCACCTCGCCATCATGAGGTCACCCACCCCCCCCCATAGGACCCCATTGATTACACTGTGTACTACAGCAGGAGCAAAGCCATTCAGTGCCTCTGGCACTGTTTTGTCAGTGTCTGGGCACGCGCCGTCGGGCTTGGGGGACGAATGTCCGGGCTTCGCCCGGACATTCGTCCGTAAAACAGTTGAAGGAACCCCCCTTTAATAGGACTTCAATCATTTCACTGTGTACTACAGCAGGAGCAAAGCCATTCAGTGCCTCCGGCACTGTTTTGTCAGTGTCTGGGCACGCGCCGTCGGGCTTGGGGGACGAATGTCCGGGCTTCGCCCGGACATTCGTCCGTAAAACAGTTGAAGGAACCCCCCTTTAATAGGACTTCAATCATTTCACTGTGTACTAGAGCAGGAACAAAGCCATTCCGTGCCTCCGGCACGGATTTATCAGTGCTTGGGCACGTGCCGTCGCGTGCAGGTCACAATCTCCGGGCTGCGCCCGGAGATTGTGACTTAAAACAGTTCAACGAGTAATGCCTGGGCTTCGCCCAGGCATTACTCGTTGGAAAAGCAATAGGCCCTTACCCCGGTTGGGGCTCGGGCCTAATAAACCAAGGAATTTTTTTTTTTTAAACTTCGAGCAAAAACAATATAGGTTTCCATAGTAACCTATAATACAAATGATACGTCGTTTTAAAGCGAACGACCAGACGAACGCAACTATTGGGTTCTCGGTGATTGACGAGCGCTGACGCGCTCGTCAATCACCTCGCCATCATGAGGTCACCCACCCCCCCCATAGGACCCCATTCATTACACTGTGTACTACAGCAGGAGCAAAGCCATTCAGTGCCTCCGGCACTGTTTTGTCAGTGTCTGGGCACGCGCCGTCGGGCTTGGGGGACGAATGTCCGGGCTTCGCCCGGACATTCGTCCGTAAAACAGTTGAAGGAACCCCCTTTAATAGGACTTCAATCATTTCACTGTGTACTACAGCAGGAACAAAGCCATTCAGTGCCTCCGGCACTGTTTTGTCAGTGTCTGGGCACGCGCCGTCGGGCTTGGGGGACGAATGTCCGGGCTTCGCCCGGACATTCGTCCGTAAAACAGTTGAAGGAACCCCCCTTTAATAGGACTTCAATCATTTCACTGTGTACTAGAGCAGGAACAAAGCCATTCCGTGCCTCCGGCACGGATTTATCAGTGCTTGGGCACGTGCCGTCGCGTGCAGGTCACAATCTCCGGGCTGCGCCCGGAGATTGTGACTTAAAACAGTTCAACGAGTAATGCCTGGGCTTCGCCCAGGCATTACTCGTTGGAAAAGCAATAGGCCCTTACCCCGGTTGGGGCTCGGGCCTAAAAATCTGGCCAAAAGTGGTACTGCAGTCACAGTCAATATTTTGTAGTCCTCTCCCACTCTCCCTGACTCAGGTTGCCAGACACACACCAAATCCAGCAGCAAACACAGGGAATTATTTTATCAATTGTTTGTCTTTCTCCATTCACATTGCCATGAGGCATGCTAATGTTGAATGAATGTTTTGAATGAATGTTTTTTTATTTATTTTTTTATTTAGACATTTGAGATAAAAAAACAAGAGTAGATTATGCAAAATAAATAAGCAATTGATGTCCAAAATAGGAGTGGGGATAATGAATGTTTGAACATATTACTTCAGCGTATCAACATCAGGGTTTGCTCCAGAGGATATCACCCTTCAATTTGATTTATTCCCTATTTTTTAGACATACATGTATAAGTCCCACATCAAAAAGAGAGGGGTACATGTGGTCTCAAATGATTTTTTTTTACAATTAAGCTAAAATCTGCAAAAAAACCTCATGATCTTCGTCTTTTATTGTTTTTGGAGTATTCTGTTGTAGAATGTGATAATAAGCAATTAAATACAACGTGCCTCCTCCCGGACTTAAACCCAAGTCGTCTGAGCGTAAGCGCAATGTTTTAACCACTACTCCACCGTCACACATGATTACATTCACATTCCTTTTATTAATCAATTTCTGGGTTAAGAGGGTGGCAATCAGAGCTGCCACTCAAATGACACAGCACTGGTCTTTCAGCGGGGGCTTCAGGCAGAGTGGGGTTAAGCGTCTTGCCTAGGGACACAAGAACACAAATATTAAACCTGAAGGCCAATGAGCTGAGCCAAAGCCTTCCTTCCGCATCCCTCTGTTTCAAAGTAAAAATCAAGTTATTTGTTGTCTCTGGTTACACACTGCATGTAAATAAGTGAGGTCGTATTGTCCAAACCCAGGACCATGCACGCAATGTAGGCCCAGACAATTTCACTGTTGGATGATTGGCTGAGTAACAGGCTGAGATACATTTAATGAATCATTGACCAGCTTACAAATACCATACCAACACTGTACATACACTGTATACATTCTTGGTACATACACATACTGCTTTTTTGTTTTGAAATAGTCGATTGTCTAGTGATACAGTGAGTCTAGTGTAAATCAAATAATGAATTATTTAGCATCAGGTGCTTCCGGTTACATCTAAACTGCTTAATTCCTGTAAGTTCTTGATCTGCACAGTTTTTGATGGTGTTTGATGGAGTCACATATTATTTGCTAGAATGTCAGCAGAGCACTTTCTTGTTTTCCTTAATACAACTCAGTGCTTTTTGCAATGTGAGCCATGGGGGCAGGAGAGGACAAATTCTGCTGAGCTAATCAACACATGGGTAACTTGCTTTATTTAACCGTTGTTTTTGCATACTGTTATGGCTTCATCAAGCAAATATGACAGGAGCACTTGAAAGTATGAAAGTAATCTTAAATAGGATGACAATACAAATCAAAGCGAAGGATGCTTACCCTAGTACACTTTACATTTAAATCATCTTTTGTTTTTGACTTGTATTATAAATGTATATATTTATTGTAATTTCTATGTTATCTATATTTTTACATAATCTATATTTTTTTGGTGACTGTACTGTACACCCTTGTGTGCCTGCCCCACCCTATTTAGGATAACTTCCTGGTGCTCTTTTCATCTTTACTGTAGGCTGTACAGGCCTCTCTTCCAATGCTGTTTTTTGTGTGCCCCTTTTCCACAGGACCAGAATGACTGGATGGGACCTCCCAGCTTCAGCGATGGATCCACCAAACCTGTCCCCATCAACCCTGACCAGACCTGTGGAGACGGATGGGTTTGTGAGCACAGATGGAGACAGATCAAGTAAGTCAGACGTGTTTTCTCATGACACTAAACTAAACTTTAATTCACTACTACAATAATATAGATATTATGATTATAGATTATATATGAGATATATAAATCTAACTCCAGTTTGCCTCTTCCCAGGGATTTCCAAAACACATCCTCACCGATTTGTATTAACACCTCTTCTTCTTTCTGACAGGAACATGGTGATATTCCGTAATGTGGTGAACGGACAGCCTCACTCAAACTGGTGGGACAACCAGAGCAACCAGGTCGCCTTCGGACGTGGCAACCGCGGCTTCATCGTCTTCAACAACGACGACTGGTGAGATTTTCACTTCACTCATGAATTTGAACAAGTCTGGTCTTTGTGCTTCTTTTTTAACAGTATTATGTATTTTAGTAAAGAGTAAAGCCCAATGGATATGAAAATTGTATTAGTTTACTGCTGAAAGTGTATATCCAAGTACTAACATCCTGTATCTTAGACTGGTTTATTTCTATAACAATGTGTGTCCTGTGCCGCGGTCAGGAACCTGGACGTGACCCTGAACACTGGCATGCCCGGAGGCACCTACTGCGACGTGATTTCGGGTCAGAAGGAGAACGGCAGTTGCACAGGGAAACAGATCCATGTGGGAGGAGACGGTCGTGCCCACTTCAAGATCAGCAACCACAACGAGGATCCGTTTGTAGCCATTCACGCCGAGTCCAAACTCTGAACTGAAGTCTTTACTCTCAATAAAAGTCCTTCAGGTCATGAACTAGTCGTTCATCAATTTTACATTTGATTGTTGTGCATTTATTTTGCATCTCATCTTTGAGAGCCTTTAATTTATCCAATCATATAATGCCGCTTTTCCACTGCAATGGTACGGTACGGCACCGCACTGCACGGCACGGCCGAGTTCGGGTGCTTTTCAGCACAGCGCGAGTGGTTGTTGAAAATCCTTTCGGCAGTTTTAAAAGAATGACTCGGACACTGTGAAGTGCTGACTGTGCTCTGCACAATCCACAAAACCAAGGAGACCTGTGACAGAATGGGACATACCTGTAGCAACAGCCGCCTGTGTAGCAGTGGTTGCAGAGGAGGGCTATCCGAGGCGTCTCTTGTCATATGCAGTGATGGGAATAACAGCGTTACTAGTATCTTTTTCAGTAACGAGTAATCTAACTAATTACTTTTACTGTAACCATAACGCTGCTATCATTGCCGACACCCCATTACTGCACGTTACTCACTTTTTTTTAACTTAATGATAGGAGTCGTGCACGTGTTGTCATGAGAGAAGGGAGGATGAGAAAATCTCTCAGCAATTATTGGCTGATGTAAAACATATTTCCTTTACAATCTACATGTCTACTGTTGAGAGGATGGCTCATAAATTGTGCTTTTTGCTTGTATCACCGTGAGGCCAGCCTCAGCGGAGCGCATGTGAGCGCAGAATTCGGCTGCATACAATTCCATCAGAAAGCTCCTTTCTCTTTCTTGTTCATCTGCTAAGGGCAGCAACAGGTTCAGCTAATATACAAGATAATTCAAAATGCACTTAGGGTAATGTTTCAATGACGATAGGAATGATCAGAAAGAGTTGAAGGGTAAGAAGGTTGATATTAGAAATTGGATTCACCCGAGAGTCGGCTGCAGCAAAACACAGGAGTTTGTGGAGGAGACAAGCGTTTTACTTTTTAAAACTCATTGGACTTCTTTTCACATGGAGGATTACATATCTACGCTCAAACTATTATCTGGACTTAAACATGGAACTGGTCTGAACCGAAGTGGCCTGTGCAGGTCATTCATAAGGTAAGACCCAAAACACACTATTAAATGTGCTTTTTCATAGTTTTGCCTTTTGTACGAGGAAACAATGCGGACATGAAACATATTCTGTTGTAGCCAAACAAATTGTGAATAAGGCTCTGTAGGTCCTGTTGATTTATATGATATATTTTCATCTGATTGGGCTGAAGTCAGTGCTTCACCAACCTCACCCCAATAGATCCATGACTTCAACGCCCGTCACTGGTGTTTCCACATTTAGAGCTAACAGCACACAGAGATGAAGAGTGAGGAGCACTCCAGCAGAAAAACAGCCTTTTCCAGATGGAAATATTGGCACTATTTCAAACTCACTGAGGTTAAAGGTAAAAATGTGCACGTCGAGTGCATATTATGTTCCAGAACAAAACGAAAAAGTAACGCAATAGCTACTTTTACTGGTAACTAGTTACTTTTATAGTGAAGTAACTCTGTTAGTAACTCAGTTACTTTTTGGGAGAAGTAACTATAACTAATTATTCGAGGGTTCATGGGAGTTCGCCCAACCTGTCCACATGTGCTTTGTGGATTTGGAGAAGGCGTTTGACCGTGTTCCCCGGGGTGTCCTTTGGGGACATGGAGTACGGGGTCCTCTGCTGAGGGCCGTTCGGTCCCTGAGCCAGAGCTGCGTGCGCATTGCCGGCAGTAAGTCAGACCTGTTCCCGGTGCATGTTGGCCTCCGCCAGGACTGCCCTTTGTCACCGGTTCTGTTCACTGTGTTTATGGACAGAATTTCTAGGCGCAGCCAGGGGCCGGAGGGGGTCAGGTTCGGGGACCAGGATTTCTTCTCTGCTGTTTGCAGACGATGTTGTCCTGTTGGCTCCTACGAACCAGGACCTGCAACATGCACTGGGACGGTTTGCAGCCGAGTGTGAAGCGGCTGGGATGAGAATCAGCACCTCCAAATCTGAGGCCATGGTGCTCGACCGGAAAAAGATGCCCTGCTCTCTCCAGGTGGGTGGAGAGGTCCTTCCTCAAGTGAAGGAGTTCAAATATCTCAGGGACTTGTTCACAAGTGCAGCGTGTGCAGTGATGCGGTCGCTGTATTGGACCATCGTGGTGAAAAGGGAGCTGAGCCGAAAGGCAAAGCTCTCGATTTACCGGTCAATCTTCGTTCCCTCCCTCACCGATGGTCATGAGCTTTGGGTAATGACCGAAAGAACAAGATCGCAGATACAGGCGGTCGAAATGAGATTCCTCCGCAGAGTGGCTGGGTGCTCCCTCAGAGATAGGGTGAGGAGCTCAGTCACACAGGAGGAGCTTGGAGTAGAGTCGATGCTACTCCACATCGAGAGTAACCAGTTGAGGTGGCTAGAGCATCTGTTCCGGATGCCTCCTGGACGCCTCCCTAGGGAGGTGTTCCGGGCACGTTCCACCGGGGGGAGGCTCAGGGAAAGACCCAGGACACAGCTGGCTTGAGAACGCCTTGGGGTCCCCCCGAATGAGCTGGAGGAAGTGTTATGTGAATAGGGGAGTCTGGGCATCTCTGCTATAGGCTGCTGCCCCTGCGACCCGGCAACGGATGAAGCTGAAGAAAATTTATGTAGGGATGCATGGATGGAATTTTTAATGGCAAATTTTTTTTTGAAAAATCAACAAAAGGGTATATTGAAAAAATAAGCTTTGTTTCATCTGTGCGGGACCAGTAGACATAAACCCAACGTGTTTTGAAATCAAAAGGTCTAAAGGGCAAGGGGCTAAATAGATTTTTTGAATGTGTTGAATGTGTCAAATATCCAATATAAAACTAACTTTACTGCTGTATAAAACCTCCATGTGTGCAAGGCAAGTTTATTTATATAGCACAATTCATACACAAGGCAATTCAAAGTGCTGAACAAAATAAGAAAGCATTTAAATCATAAATAATCACAGAACATTAAAAAGAAAGATAAAAATATAAAATCCCTCAGTTGTATGCACAGCTAAACAGAACTGTCTTTAACCTGGTTTTAAACATTGTCAGAGAGGAGGCCTGTCTCACATCTTCAGGAAGACTGTTCCAGATTTTAGCAGCATGAATCTGAAAAGCAGCCTCCCCATGTTTAGTTCTCACTCTGGGCACTAACAGGAGTCCAGTCCCTGTGCTCCTCAGAGTCCGGCTTGGTTCGTATGGTACTAACATGTCACTAATATATTTTTTGGAGTGAGGCCATGGAGAGACCTGTACACAAGCAGAGCTGTTTTAAAGTCTTTTCTCTGAACACTCTCTGAATGCACTGTACATAGATATATGTGGAGCAGTTCAGGATAATTTTCTCCTATACTTTTAACACTGGGTTGTTTGGGGTTTTGTATTTGGTCACTGTTTAACTCACCCCCCTTCTCTGAGCTTACATAAATATTGTGTTTCACAACCACGAGATAGGTGTCAAACAGTGAATTACTAAAACTGGGCCCCTTATGTAACGTGTAATGCCAAATAAACAAAAACATATACATTCTAAATAACTAATATGTAGATTTTTATAATGCTATGTCAACTAACTAATATTCTAAACTTAAAACGTTCCGGTGAGTTCTGTCTTCATTACCTGAAAGGTGTCATTTTAACAATTTTGAAAAACATCTTTGTCTGTGATTAAAGTTACACTAAACTAATTCAAACAAACATTTTTAAACATTTAGTCATTTCACATCATTGTGGAGATAAAATTTCTTCAACTACAAACTGGAGCTAGAAGGGACTCACGGTCTACTGATTATACAAAAAATGATAAAAATGATTACACGTTTTTTATGTTTCCTTTAAAAAGCAGACTGGACTTACATCATGGTCACTTAACCTTGGCAGGATGGATAGGATGGTTTGGTAACCAGTGTGAGAATGGAGCAGCTGCTGTCACACCTACACATGATGTTGTGCCCGGATTGGCTCAAAGCAGAATGTAAATGTGTATTTAAACTTGTGGCTTGTGGTGGACCAGCATCTTCTCCTCCCTCTTGAAAAGATGAAGTTGTTGATCCTGGTGGCCCTCTTTGGCCTGAGCCTGGCCTACCACAACCCCCACCTGAAGCACGGGCGCACCTCCATCGTGCACCTGTTTGAGTGGAGGTGGGCCGACATCGCAGCTGAGTGCGAGCGCTTCCTGGGACCCAACGGCTACGGAGGCGTTCAGGTACTGGTTTTACTGTAAAAAGGAAAAAATGAAAACAACTTGAAAAACCCTGGACAACTAAAAAAAATGACACTGATATCAAGGCTGCTGCGGATGCTATGGTCAAATAATAAATTGATGTGTAAGTTACTTTTTTTTCAATTAATAATCTTTTTCACACAAGAATGCATTATAAATGCATTCAATTGATCAGCAAATACAGGTCAAAATGAGTAAATGACTTACATTGTAGAATATTAGAATACGTTTTTCAAAGAAAGACACACATGGAATAAAAAAGAAAACACTCACTGAAAACTACCTATGACGTCTGCCTAATATGGTGCACATAACATTTAAAAGACCAAAACATTAGAACTGGATAAAAGTTAACCAAAAGCTCAAACAAATGAGCATTGTAATAATATCCATCTAGTTCCTTGATCTCAGAACTGTTTTGTTCTACCACTATCTTTTAGCCACAAATCTTTTTTGATCAACTTTTTCAGACAAATATGAAAAAGCCTATCAGCTTTCTAACAAGTATGCGAGATGTACTGTATAAAAAACATGTACTTGTATATAATTCCTTCAGGGTACAAACACCACATTATATTCATGAAACCAAAAAGTTAAGCTTCACATAAGTGTAAGCTCAAATCAAAAAGTCCATGGATCATCTGCTACAGTCACATTGATGTTTGGAAAAGAGTGTTACCCTGGACTCAAATCAGATCAAAGAATTATTAATAATGCCTTTGTTTTGTCAGATCTCTCCTCCCAATGAGCACATCGTCATCAACAGCCCCTGGAGGCCGTGGTGGCAGCGGTACCAGCCCGTCGGATACAACCTGTGCTCCCGATCCGGAAATGAGAACGAGCTCCGCGACATGATCACTAGATGCAACAATGTCGGGGTAAAGCATTGAGTTTATGTTTCCTATCACACCCCATCTAGATCTGCTGTTTCCTACGGACCTATTCAGTGTTTCCACAGAGACTGGTACCACACAGCACTTCCCAGAGTCATGCAAATGTTCTTACAGCTGTAGTTTCCAAAGAGTTTGAACAATACTAACAAAAACATAGAAGCCATTGGACCAAATGAACGTAATGAAAGTAATGCTAAAACGTCCTCTTCAGGTGAACATCTACGTGGACGCGGTCATCAACCACATGTGCGGCGCTGGAGGCGGAGAGGGCACTCACTCATCCTGTGGAGGCTGGTTCAGCGCACACAGAAAGGAATTCCCCTCCATCCCCTTCACTGGCTACGACTTCAACGACCACAAGTGCAGGACTGGCAGCGGCAACATCGAGAACTATGGAGATGCCAACGAGGTAACGATCTCTCTTCTATAGGCTGCTTCTCTGCTTCATAAAAAGGCAAGTTTGTTCATACACAAGGCAGCTTCACAAACATAAGGCATTTAAATCATGAATAAACACAGTGCATTAAAGTGAAAATACTATCCTTCAGTCACAGCTAAACAGAACTGTTTTAACCTGGATTTCCACATTTTCAGATGATAAGCTTCTTGCATGGTAAAGAAGACTATTACAGATTTTAGCTGTATAAATCTAAAGCTGCCTCCCCATGTTTAGTCCTGACTCTGGGCACCAGCAGGAGCCCAGTCCCTGTGCTCATTCATTCATTTGGCATTATTACTTTGGTGTAAAGCCATTGAGAGGCTTGAACACGACTAGAGCTGCTTTACAGTCTAATCTCTGCTGAGACTGGAAGATGTTGGTAAAGGCAATTTAACCATTATTTCCTAATATGAATTTAGAGTATTTGTGGTTGTAAAGCATTATCTACAAGTAAAGATACTTTGTTACAATATTTATTATGTTTATGTTTTTTGCTTCTCGTCCCAGGTTCAATTTCCATTCAAAAGTGGAGCTGGATATAGTTTTGGTTGAAAAATAAGATTTACATATATATATAGTTTGTTTGTATAGCACAGCATTTGAATCATTGAAATCGTCAATAATCACAGCAATTAATAAAAAGAGTGAAGAAACACACTATTTAATAAAAAATGAAAACCTGCAGTTCATATCCGAGTGTTTCTCCCCATGCAGGTGCGTGACTGCCGCCTAGTGGGCCTGCTGGACCTTGCGCTGGAGAAGGAGTACGTCAGGAGCAAAGTGGCCGGTTTCTTGAATAAACTGATCGACATGGGCGTGGCCGGCTTCAGAGTGGACGCCTGCAAACACATGTGGCCAGGTGATCTGCAGAACGTGTACGGACGCCTCCACAACCTCAACACCAAGTGGTTCTCCGGAGGATCCAGGCCTTTCATCTTCCAGGAGGTAAAGCAATGACCACTAATACACATTTTTAGAGTAGGTTGTGTTCATGTGACATCAAACTTCTCCAAAAAGCTTAGTTTACAGTTACAGGACAGTTGCAATACCTCCCCATTTTATCCCTAATTTCTGCCTAAATCCTGGGCTAATTTTCATTAAACAAAAAAAAACACAATTCCATTATTATTAATTATTTCCTAGTAAAGGTGTCTAGAGGTGTTGACAACATTCAAAGAACATATGCATGATGTTGGCTTTCACACATATGAATAAAATGACAGGTTTTTTCGTCTAATCATGAGAAAATAATGATCTGGGAAAACACTTGTACATTTTCTCTTTCAACATCTATCAAAAATTGCTTCTGTTGGAGTCACATTGACACAACATTCATAAAACCATTTTCTGTGCTACACTGAAAAAATGCATGCTTCTTCCAAATCATAACGTATTCTACTCTTGACTTTGAAGCTTGAAAAAGAAGGAATGGAATATTATATGATAACTGTACGAATGCATTAACAGTTAACATTATAATTGGCTGCACATCAAAGTAACAGTGTCCATCAATGTGACGCCCTCTATGTAATCTCAATGATCCATGGAAAAAAAAAGTGGTTTCTTTTATTCCCTGTTTCTAACGTACATGAGGTCAATTCGATATTTCATAAGCAGCTAATGGAAGACATACTTGCACTTCTAAACACAACCCATCATTTGTTATATAGTATAATATGTACTAATGTGCATGTTGTATAGCTGTTCGGCAAGCAAACTACTGACAAGCCTAGCTAAAAATCTGTATTGCAGGTTTTGGTAAATAAAATCGCATCAAGAATCAGCTCTGGTTATTGGTTAACAGAGGTGAGCCATGAGCCGTGGGAATTTTTGAACGCGAACATAACATGGTACACATATGTATATATATATAAAGATATATATATAGACAAAAACACTCAAGCTATAACATAAACAGTGAGACCCCATTGGGTTTTATGAAATGCATAATAAGTCCTTGCTCAATCAGACGCCAAGTGTTTTTGACAGTACAAAGGTGAGCTATTTGAGTTGTGATAATAATATTCTCTCTCCCTGAAGGTGATTGACCTTGGAGGCGAGCCCATCACAGGGAGCCAGTACTTCCACCTGGGACGCGTCACTGAGTTCAAATATGGCGCCAGACTGGGAACTTTGTTCAGGAAGTGGAATGGAGAAAAACTCAGCTACACCAAGTATGTACAACAACCGGTACTCTGAAATATATGAGGGCTTATGAAGGCTTAAAGCTGGGGTGCCTTTTTCATAAATACAATCTATTTTCTTTTTTTAGTCAAATAAGACCACAACACACTTTCTTTATTTAATTTGAATGCTTTTTTTAATATTTCGTATACTTGTAAAAAAAATCCCTGAGAGTCACTATCTGATGCTTATGGCTGGGACCTGACTGGCTAAGGGGGGTAGTCCACTCTTTTTCACTCTTTTTCTATAAAAGCTGATCTGAAGCAGTGGGGCAGGGTCCCAGCTCAAAAGTGGCCAAAATGACGTGCGCTGACATGCTTGCAATACCACCCTGGGCCGATGGGGGTGGACCCAGAAGAAGAATTAGCCAATGCTAACATATAGCATTGGCAGACCTCTCAAAAACGTCTTTACAGGATGGACCAAAAGTTGGCTCTTGGCCCAAAGCTCCGTTCCACATGTGTGTCAATGCTGAGGGGGGTGAATTTTTTTGGTCCACTCTAGTTTACTTGCTGTGAATTTTTGAAGTATCTCGTTCAAATGAATGGAGCTTGCGCCGGCTGACGCATGCGCAGATGCGTTTTTTCACAATTTTCTTGTGGGCGGGACCACCCGCGGCCATTTTGGATAGCTCCAGTAGAGCACATTTTCTGGCCCATTAGTTAGAACGGCGGAGATAGGCGTGACTCTGTCTGTTAATATATACAGTCTATGATCTGAAGCCAAAAATACATTCATGTTAAAACTGGTTATAGCTCCGAACAGTTTTGAGAGTCAGGAACTAGATTTTAATTCCATTTATTTTGTGGGGTTTTGAAAATCAGGTACCCCAGCTTTATTACAACAGTAGATTCAACTCAATGTAAATGCATTCCCCATTGCTAATGTAATATGTTTAGACGCTTATACTGTAGGTCTACCACCCTACCATACCGTTTTTAAATTGAACTACAAGATTATCATTTGTTTGATTATCAAAAGTATTATATATTTTTCTCCAAAACAGCAGAATGGAATATTTCTGGGTTTTCATGGGAAATTCCTTGTCCAATATAAATGGCGCGTTCCAGTAAGGGATTTCATTTTGGGGGGCAATGCTTTAAGATTTGACTTTTAATTCCGAGTCCACTTATGTAGGTGGAATTATGTGAAGACTGGAAGGAACTCAGAACAAGGCTGTGTAACTGGACAAATGTTACATCATGGTCATGGTCAAAAGCATATGCAGTTACAATACACGTTCTTAACAAGCAAAATGCATAACAGTAAATCCACTTTATTCTATGCAGCTGTGACATTATGTGAACAGGAACTGGGGTGAGGGCTGGGGTTTCATGCCCAACGGAAACGCACTGGTCTTTGTGGATAACCATGACAACCAGAGAGGCCACGGAGCGGGCGGAGCCTCCATCGTCTCCTTCTGGGACTCTCGCCTCCACAAGATGGCCGTCAGCTACATGCTGGCCCACCCATATGGAGTCACCAGGGTCATGTCCAGCTTCAGATGGGACCGTCGCTTTGAGAATGGAAAGGTAGATCAATATAAATCATCTGTAAAATGTATTGTTTTGAACTTCTGACTGGTGTTTCCTCATCAATAACATACTGGAGTATATTGTGGCTCCATTAATGGGAATTTTCAACTCTAATGGCCCTAAAGTTCTCTGTTGAATCTTGACTGGTCATATTTTGACCATTTCTCAAAGGTGTTCAAAGTACAGCCTTTTAAACAAATACATTGATTAATTGATTTTTGTTTTTTTATTTATGCAGAAATTCTTCATTCATAAGTATTTATAATATTTACATTCTTTAGTTTATGAATATACTTTTGTTAGAGACATTCAAAAAAAAGCAATAAACTAGCACCAGTATTTGCCATAGCTTCACCATGTGTTGGTATTTTTACACATTCAATATGTATTTAGAAATGTATTTCTATTTACAATTTGTCAGCTCAAACCCCAAAGCAAATTAATTCATGTGTGGATTGAATCAGAATAATGCGGGTGGAAAATGCTATCTTTGCTTGTAAACATCTTGCAGGATAAGAATGACTGGATGGGACCTCCAAGCCACGGAGACGGATCCACCAAATCTGTCCCCATCAACCCTGACCAGACCTGCGGAGACGGCTGGGTTTGTGAGCACAGGTGGAGACAGATCAAGTAAGTTGCCATTAAAATGTTATTACATTCGGTAATTCCAGTATTTTTGGTGTTAAACGCAGCGGTGCATTCTCTTCCCTCTGACAGGAACATGGTGATGTTCCGTAACGTGGTGAACGGACAGCCTCACTCAAACTGGTGGGACAACCAGAGCAACCAGGTCGCCTTTGGACGTGGCAACCGCGGCTTCATCATCTTCAACAACGACGACTGGTGAGACTTTATTATTATGAAATCCTTTCTCCAAAATGTATTTAATAATTGCTTGATAGTTTATAAGACTAATTGTAGAGAATAATTTATATATGCCAGACTATTGCGGCCATACTTGCCTGCGAAAGCCAGATCCTGTCAGACCTCTAGAGCTAAGCAGTACAGGGCCTGGTTTGTACCATATTGGGAGCCCTATTATTTATTACCACTGTGTATGGGGTGAATCCATTATGTGTTGCATTCTTGAGTGTCCTGAAAAGCGCTATATAAAACCAATGCATTGTTATTATTATAGCTATTGATAGCATGAGTCCCAAAAGCTGGCCCCCCCCTTTCTCTGACCTAACCCCTGTGTCCTATGCCACGGTCAGGAACCTGGACGTGACCCTGAACACTGGCATGCCCGGAGGCACCTACTGCGACGTGATTTCGGGTCAGAAGGAGAACAGCAGATGCACAGGGAAACAGATCCATGTGGGAGGAGACGGTCGTGCCCACTTCAAGATCAGCAACCACGACGAGGATCCGTTCGTGGCCATTCACGCCGAGTCCAAACTCTGAACATCTTGTCTTCACTCTCAATAACAGCTTCCATAATGTAGTGTTTTATTGACTGGTTTTCATGTCAATTACTGTTTCCAATTAAGCTTCTCTATGTACCGTACCATGTGGTCAGGATTGTCATTGTTGGTTTGGGGTCAGTAGGAATTGCAATGTGAAATAAAACAAAAACAACTTACGTACGTCAGCTACTAAATTAACAGTAGGACTTCCAAAGGAGTCAATTTGAAGGCATTTCGTGTTGGAAGTGTAATATATCAGCTCTTTTAGAAAATGTTTGCAGCATGAGCCATAATAAATTCCTTCCTCTATTGTGCCACTTAGGGTTAGGGTTAGCCATCAAAAGGATTCTAGTGTACATATTTGGTCATCCTAACTTTTTCCTTACCAACGTGTAGTTTATTTCTATGTCATTACCTGAAATGAAAAACATATATTCCTGCATTCATATTTTAAAGGATCCACTCAGCATCACACCGAATAACATGAAAAAGAGTTCTTCCACTGTCCACAGGAGGGCAGTGCAGTGTTGCGGAACTCTGACAATCCTTGGTTCATTTTGAGTTTAGCTGCTGGTCACTTTGGTCCACAGCTCCACATTCAAGCGCAGGACTTTAAAATGACGTCATATACCCCAACCTCTCTGTTCTGGCCTTTCCACAGTTTTCCCTCAGTCTGTTTCCCTGAAAAGAGTTTTGGCTCCTTCTCTACTAACGCAACATCTAATTTAACTCAAGAACACGATGCATCCGACCAAAGTTACAGGTTCAAAGGCCAGTTCTTAGATAGTGGGTTTGCATTATGCCGTGGGGCTTGGCATTCCCTCCGCACTTACACTCGCTGGGTTTGATGTTGCAATAATTTAAAGATTCAGTAAAATACATTGGCAACAAGAGATGTAATGTAATCAGTGCTATTTCTCCAAAACCTGATCACTGCATGTAAATAAAACCAAGATTTACCTTACTTCCAAACCACAATTAAATGGAGCCATGAAATAACATCTATGTAGACTTTGGTTCTTTTATGGCCAATTCTAAAACCTGACTTTGATTATGCCTTACTCTATTCTCTATTCTTTACCTCTCTTCTGACTGATGCACCGAGCCAAAGCAATTTCCTAGTCTGTGACTTCCTGTTACTTACGTGGCAATAAAAATGATTCTGATTCTGAAAAAATCCATCCAATCCTATATGATTCTGTTAGTAGTTTCACATGCATGCCCTTTTTGGCTTCTGTCAAATCTATAGCTCAGTTTTTTCAGGAGGAAAAGTAAAAAAATAAATAGATGCCCACTTTTACTCAGCCAATCTGCTCAAAGCATCAAATAGTGTTTTATAGTATGCTAAAGATACCATGATTACTATGAAAGATGGAAACAGAAAATAGTTCTCTGCTTAGTTCACAACAGATTCCTGTTTACAACACTCTTATCTTTTGGCACAAACAGAAGCTATTATTTATGAACAAATAAAAAAGTACTCCATCTTTAACTGTCACCTCACCTTGCTCAGAAGGTCAGCAGAGAAGACCCTAATGTCGCAGCATCCCGTGGACATATTGCAGGTGTTCAATTATTGAGCGCCTCCCTCCATCTCTCTCGGCCCGAGCGCTCGGTCCGATTAGACAGAGAAGTGTGAGGGACGCAGGGCTGATGCTTCGTGACACCCAGGCCACCGCTGTCCCCCCAGTGGCTCTTTCATTTTTTATACATATAGCTCCGACCTGTCTGTCACATCACCGTCACTCACTCAGCCATAGGGGAAGGGCAGACAAGAGAGGGGTTGTTGCTCCGAGAATTATAGTGTTTTGATAATTTTAACCAATAAACCTGGAATACCTTTTATCTATTTCTTTTCATAATAATACATTTTTGCTTGTCAAAACACAATGTTGTGACTAAATCAAACCACAAAACGCTATCTTTGTCTCATGAAAAAGCCATGTGAGTCTCTATTTGACGCTTTGGGCTGAGTGATGATTGTTTTTTTTATTTTTTATTTTGTCTGAAGAAGGTGATCTAATAATGTGAAAACTAGTTTTATATATTTACTGTATATAAAACTAAACTGTTCAGAGAGTTAGGAAATGGATGGACTATATTACATATTGAAATGTTGATATGGTAGCTTGGAATTATGGTCATTGTTCATGGTGTATTTATCTCGATCTTGATTAACACAGTCAAATAAAACTACAAAAACTGTATTTCCTTTTAAGTATTGACAGATAGAGTGATAGATAGACAGATATGTCTGACCCTAGGACACTGTATCATGTGTAGTATTTTTCAACAATATAGTAATATGTCTTAAATAGTCCCTCCCCTTGGCATAACTGCGACCAGTAAGATTGGCTGGAGGAGAATAATTAAAAACAACAATGAGGAGCCTCAAGGATTTTAATTAATTTTGACCAATCAGGAGGCTGCAAAGGTGAGCATGGGCGGGTCTTACCAATGCACTCTTCAATAAATTCACTCTCTCTTCATAATTTGAATATAAATTGATATTCTCTTTAAGTATCAAGACAGGGCAAGGCAAGTGTGTATTTGTGTTTTTGTTCTTCATGTCCTTGTACTGAGCATCCCACCACTGACATTTCCCTCACCGCAAAGACAAACGATTGTCTCATCTTGTTTAATGTATTTACCATACACCTTTTTCCAGTGTGTTCTGCTATTCAGGTAAACGGTTAAACAGTGCTTTTTGTGGAATTTCTGTAATTTTACATACAGTACTGAGAAAAAGACAGTCAATCAGTCCCTAATTTTCACCACACAGGGGCAGTGTCGAGGCACGTTTACTGTAGAAATGAAGTGCTCTTATGCTCTGTATTTGGTTTTTATCTTATATTTTTTGGCAGGGAGATTTCTGACAGAAAATCCTACTTGTCTGCATTGTTCAGATCATATCAACGCATGTATATTTTCTTGAGAGTCATATTAAGCATTGTAATTTCTTTCCATGCTCAGAGCAATTGGACAAAACAAAAGCAATTGGAATCTTGTGATATATTTGATCACATACTTCTTCCATTACACTGTAACTTGCCTGTTCATGTACTTTACTCTTTGGTTACAAAATCACTTGTATTGTTTATGGTATTTTTATCTTCCCCGGTCTTCAGTTAGGGTTAGGGTAAGGAGCACAGCCTAGTAGTTTTTTGGATTCTGGGAAAAAAAAAACACAAAAAATGTTTTTTTTTGTTGGAAGATGCAAACGATTCAATGAAAGGCCAGACCTAACAAAAATGGCAAAGCCCTGAAAACAAAATATAGCCACAGGAATACTTTTTTGGGAAATTTGGCCTTTCATGTTTTATAATGTGGCATCAATTCTCACATAATTACTGGGGTGAGATTGTAAAATAAGTAATTATAAGTCAAACGTGTGGTGGTCTAATTGAAGATGCACAGTGGAAGAAACGATTTTGTTTTTCAAGTCATTAAGATTTTTCATAGTGCTGCAACTTTGAAAAAGAAGCATTTAGACACAGGGAGTGTGGGTATGCTTGTGTCTGTATGTGTGTGCTTGTGGTTGTGTGTGTGTATATATGCGTGCTTATGTGCTTGTGTGTGTGTGTGAGTGTGCGTGTATTTGTGCGAATGAAACAAAAAGGAACTCCCATGGTAATCACCCTAAATATGTTCTGGGCCAGATTGTTCCGCTTTTGATCCCAGTTTGGCCTTAGAGAAAATTATTGTTAAAATCACACCACAACTAATCCCAAATGCATGTTCTAATAGAAAGCACAAACCAGGTACTAACCAAGATTAACCCAGGATCAAAGCCAAATAAGACAGACTTATTTTGTCATTGGGAAGATTCGTCAATAGGCCATATTATTGGATTGTTTTTTGAGGCAGTTTTTGCACCCGCACCGCAAGTTCAATAGGTTTTTATTGCTCCAGAGCCATAAGACAGTTTCAATATAATCATTAATCTTCAAGAGTAAACAAATCTCACCTCAGAGCCTTTGTAAATGCCATATGAGGCCTTCAATCACACACCTATATTCTAGAAGTGTCCTGCCTCAGCCTCAGCTCTTCCTCCTCTGGCTCTCCTGCGTCTTATCACACAGCGATATACATCCAGCATTCGGACGTATTGATCCGCAGCAGTGCCTTGACACGTTTCTGTTTCATTTTCAGCTCCATGTCCCTGTCAGAACGGTCCGAACGGCCACAAAACCCACACCTCCTGCTCCTGTCTGGTCCCCCACACCCCAAGCGTGTCATGTTCACCATGGCGATCCACCTGCACACGCTCAGAACGGCGTTTCAACTGAAGAAATCGCATATTGAAGCAGGAATGTGCCAGACCTTTGGAGATGATTGCGTGAGGTATATAGAAGAATAGAAAAGGGGGAACATCAAGTGAGTTGGGTGTTTTTCATAAGCAGTGATATTTAGAAGCGGGGTATGCATGCAGTGGTTTGACTCTGGCTTTATTAAACAGTAAAAAATGTATCTGTTTTGCATTCATTCCATTGTTGTTTTTATGAGGACACCTCTGGAAATATTTTGAAATCATGTGGTTATTGTCATATGCTGGGAAACATTGTCATTCCATTAATCAACATTTACTCACATATCTGTAGAAAAAAAACTAACATATAAACAGTATTGAAAAGGGTGTAGTGTCTGCTATCTTTATCATTAGCTACATATGTTTCAAACGTTTTACATAAAATTGTATTTGTGACTTTTGAGCCAATTACTGACTCTCCTGACCCTTCTCTGGGGTCAATGAGGCTGTGGACATCTGGAAGGACAATACGAGCCTGTAGTGAGACCCGCTGGGAAGACAGACTCGAGATACAGAGTTTAACCAGGATCCCTGTGTTTAATGTGTTCTTGGTCATTTTGCCATCCTTCTGTCTTTTGTACAATCTGTTTGATTCTTTCCATGCCAAATATGACATGTACATTTATCCAGTGTGAGATCAGTAAATTCTATCTTATCTTATCCTCATTCTTGGAGCTGATGAGAGCACT